CCCCAGTCCGGTCCCTGGCTATCGTTAGACTTTGACACCGAATCGCGACTATCTGTCTCCCTTACTTAAAACTGGTTCGCTGGCTAAACCTCTGTTCACGCTACCCTTCTTTATATTATTGTCTGATGATAAATAGTCGAAAATGTATGTTCGCCTTACTTGCCTTCCTGAATTTTATTGATATGCAGGCTTTAACACACCCTTACAGATGAGCTGCTATGGCAATGCACGACGCGGTCCATGGGTCGTGGACTGTCCAAAGTCTGGGATTAAACGTTTAAACAGAAGGTTGTCCTGATGAAATGGATCCGACAAAGCAAAGAGAGACCAGAATGGCCATTTCTGGCTTGTTAGTCTTCATCCGCCAGTCATATCCAATCTCAAGGTTGTTCTATTTAATGATCTTTCTGGAAATGACGCATCCGAGAAGCCCTCCAGCATCGATAAGCTGCAAACCACTTGGACAAATGTTCCACTACATTGGCGAAACAGACCAAGGACTACAAACGTGGCCACTGAAGGCTTCAGGGTGGATTCACGAGCGCCAATGCATTCTGTAGGTTGGATTTTTATGCGGTCGTGATGACATACACGGATGCAATAACTATAACTCTCGGGGGCACACCAGCGTAACTGTGTCATCAGTCCATGCAGGCCCAAACATTATATTATCACATCAACGGGCCTTATACTGGAAACTGCGCCCGACGCTCAAGCCGTTTCGGGTGGCCATTCCAGGGACTACTTCAATCCACGTTCCTGGAGGTCTTCCAAATAGATCCAGGAATCGTATTGTTCGGGATCACATGACTGCAACATGAGCGAAAAATTGGCAAAGCTCCCTTCTCCCGTCTTTAATACGGAACCACTTCAAAATAAGTTTAAATAGACGACCAAAAAATAAGACAATCACAGCCATGAGATCTTATTCAGTTTTGTTTAACCTGCCTGAAAATCAAATTTTTTTTATGCTCATAAGACCTTGCTTGCTCGATCTTGACCCGTTAATCGGGTGAATGTGAATAAAATATCTCATTGAATTCAACCAAAAGTATGAATTATACGTTAGATTTGCATATACCAATCAAATAGAGTTTCAATGATGATATTATTACAGCCTACTCAGTCCAGTTGGCATGCCGGCTTTTGAGCGGGCTTCTTATTGACTACCTGCAAAATTTATATTCTGTAAAAATAACGACTTGAATAGTATGTATTATTCTCATTGCTTTCCTTCGCTCTTATAAATTCAAGTACATTTTATAGAGAACAATAACAAAATTATTCTTAATTGTACTTGTTTGGTAGAAAATTATGCCTTCTTTAAAACTTTATCTTCACGGAAATGTATCATTTGGTTTTAAAAAATGTTCTAGACTACCGAATAATGTTGAATTCTACCGAACAATAGACATGAATTCAAGTTCTCAAAATTACATACTGCATATATACTATGTATAGAAATATTAGTATTCACCTACGGTTTGAAGTAGAATTCACATCGTTCTCAGAAAATTTTGCAATGAACATGGACCAACCTTCTTAATAAACGGAGAGGTAGGCTACTTTATGAATGCACATTTCATGGTCAAAAAGAGTCATAATTAGAAAGTTTTTTGAAATCGAAGGACAATTTTTCCTCAAATATATATTTTGAAGAAGAAATAATATTTCTGTGCAAAAAATATACTTAGGTTTTTTAAGAGCGGCAAAAATTAATCACAGAAATCCATAGTATAGACGCTGACTTTTTTACAGAATATGCTTTTTGTACAGGGTGCAAAAGAGGACCGTTCAAAAGCCGGAATCATCATAAAATTTGACTTGGTACTTTAGCATATATTTGCTAATTGATTCGATTAGGTGAGTGGATTTAATTATGCGAAAGCCTTTAAGTTAATAAAATCACCATTTTAGTTAGGTTTATTAAGAGAAATGTTCATTAATTGTGACAAAATTGGGATAACTCTCAAATCGAAGGAATATCGAATGCTATTACGAAAGACAGAACCTAACTGCTTATTAATGTTGATTATACTGTGAAGGAACTCCGAAATAAGTAAACTAGCTATAGAAGATATCCCTTCCAGAACTGGAAAATTTTGTCCAAGATTGTTCAGATTCAAGTGAAGACAATTTGAAGGAGTCGCATTTATCTGCAGAAACATTTGAAATTTATATTTTGAAAATTATATAAAGCTAACCTGTTAAGTTTTGTCAAAAAAATGCAGTAACAAAAAAGTTCATCACACCGCTGACCTTCGCGTTTAAACAAAGTGTGCGCATATTTTATCACGAAGGTAATGTAAAAAAGGCCCTCTTGAATGTAAGTCATGTTGAAATATACTTTTTTGTAAACTATGTGTTCCGCCTATGCGTTATTTAGAAACAGAACAGACAGAAGCATAACAATTAGTTCAAAAAATGGCCAAATATATGGCCTGTTTTTTTTACTTTCGCAAGCTTATAAAAGATCGTGGAATTAATCCACTTATGCGGGAAATAATCGATTATAAGGAGGCAAGTAAGGTCTTTTATCTCCATTAAAATTGAATCGCTTATCTTCAGGTAAATTAAAGAAATTGTCAAAAGTCTCCAATTGCATTGTGATATTACCTTCGAAAAAGTTAATATGCACAGAAATTCACCAGCTAAATATCTAACCAAAACACTTGTTAAAGAGGTAACCTATTGGGGATATTTTTTACTTATCTTATGAATAACAATATCGGACTTATCTTTCGGACGTTCTATACACTTGACACTGGGTTTCCTGTTTATAGGCATTTGTAAACATGACCCAGATGGCCATCATCATAAGAACTATTATCCAAAAACCCTTCCTTTCGGTAAATGCTCTTCATATATATCTAAATTAAAGGTTTTGATGTAAACTTCGAACAGAAGCGCAACTTATCAATGAAGACACTGTAAACGAAGGAAATGATGCCAGACTCTATTCGATGATAGTCAAGAAACAGCTATCCAATAATGGTACTCTGTACAAAAAATGACTAAATAAAAATTCATTTTACATAAAGAAAGTGACTACGTAAACTTCTAAGATATATAAAATATTTAAATTCACTGCTTTAAATTACAGCT